GTAAGAGGAATATTTTTTAATCCACTTTAAAACAGTGATACATTTGTCAAATCACTATGGAAAAATTTTTAATACAGTGTATATTGAAGTAGATTAATATTTTCAATTTATAATTAAAGACAGACTATTTTATTGACCTTCAAGGTGAATACATGTATAAGGATTTATTTTTCCTACATTGAATTAAAAAAGGATTGAAAACAATTCTGAAAAGTTATTTCACCTGTATCTGAATTCTACTCAGGTGAACATAATATTCAGGCACAAAGAATCGGAGAAGAGGGAGGGATTGTTCCCTCTTTTATGAATGTAAATTTTAGCAATTTCTAATTTGAAAATGTTCTTTGAAAGTCTTGTAACCACCCCCTCTTTCTTATACAGTATAGTTAAAAAAATCTCTCCTACTTGAGTGAACAAGATGAACATACATTCAGGCACATAGAATCAAGGATAGGGTGTCCACCCCCTTCCATTTCCTAGAACGTATTTTTTTCGCTTAAAAATGGTCATTGCAAGTCTGGTTGTCCTACCCCCAACTTTTTGATACAGTAGAGTAAAAGAAAATCCCACTTACATCAATAAACTTTTTGAGGGGTCCATCAAAGATGTTTTTAATTAAAAGTATTTTTTGCCTCTTATAATGCGCCATTTCCCCTTTCGATGCTATGCCTGACATTCGTTTTTTCTACATTGCTCCAAAACTAGATTTCAAATGCAAAATTAATACTGGTTATGCTTATGTTAATGCTATTCTTTCACTGTGTTTGGTTAGGACTTGAGCAAATGTAAACAAGAAGCTTGACATGTCTGTTTAATCAGTTTGTTTCAATTTAATCATTGAATAATATAATAAAACAATTATTGCTTTTTTTCTGTCAGGACGATCAGTGATTTTCCATCATCGAAAAACAATGCTCTCCTCGCCCTTTGGACTCGATAAATCTTTAACTTCACTAAATTCTGAATCATTGAATTTACCTTAAAAACAGCAATGATTGTATAATGTAATGAGATCAATATATCATCGATTTATTCCCAATGAAGCTCAAGTGAGCATTTTGGCCAAACAAGTCTCTTGATTTATTATTTTATTTTGCCCCCTAAAACTTTTTTCTTCATTTTTCTTCACGTGGGGTATGCAGGTTTTTATGGTGATGACACTTTTTCTACGGGCAAAAGGGTCATTTTTCGACGTCGAATAATGACCAGGGGTCATTTTTTGCCGTTGAATAATGACCGGGGGTCATTATTCAAAGTCGAAAAATGACCCCCGGTCATTATTCTATGGGGGTCATTATTCGTCTTTACAGGAGCATGGTGCACTCCCCGTAAATCCGTCACTGATACTCTTACTACTAAACCGTTACTCAATACCACAGATTTCACAGTCCATGCCTGAAAGGGTTTATTGGGAATATTGGAACCCTACTACAAGATGTCCCTGAACCATGATGAGGGAAATCTTTTTTCAAAACAGGCATATGTTTGATGTATATTTCTCAAGGAATTAAATAATATTCATTACAGTAGAAAATGCAAATGAATAGAATATTGATAGAATGTATACCGGCATATATATATATATATATATATATATATATATATATATATATATATATATATATATATATATATATATATATATATATATATATATATATATATACAGCTTATTCCGGATATATTGAAATTACTCAAGAACTTGCCCTGAGTACGATCAATTTTTAAAGCGAGGTAGGCTACTCAATGATAAGTTGATGTTACAGGGATTTCAACAGCGTCGTTTAAAGTCAGTTTTTCGTAATTTTATGGTTGTTATAATATATAACCTATCATTGGATCGTATTTTGGCTGACTTATTTAATACCAATTGTTAGGCCTTTGTTTTTGTACTGAATTGACTACCACGGATAGTTCCGTTTACCTGATCAATACATAGGGCTCACGGCGGGTGTGACAGGTCAACAGGGGATGCTTACTCCTTCCAGGTACCTGATCCCACCTCTGGAATTTCCAGGAGTCTGTGTTATGCCCTCTTCACATATTTGTATTGTTTGTGGATTTTTTGAGATCGATCACCGTGACAGGCATTGATTTTGCAGGACCCCTTTATGTCAAGATAAATTGGGAGAAGATTCTAAAGCATGCATATGCCTCTTTACATGTGCCTCATCTCGAGCTTTACACCTAGAGTTAGTACCAAACCTGTACAGAGTTCATTTGTTCTTGCATTCAGAATATTTATTAGTAGGAAATCACTGCCTAGTATCATGCCTAGTATCACGTTCTCAGATATTGCAACAACCTTTCAATCTGCATCAAAGGAAATCACCAGAGCATCACATGAAGAAAATGTACACCAAAAACTTGCTGAAGATGGAGTACAATGGAAATTCATCCCCAGTTACCTTTACCTAGCAACTCTCTATACACTACTACATGTACAAACAATCTAATCACACTTCATGTCTATACGCCTATATTTCTTACTTTAATCTTAATGTTGTCTACAGCATCTGTCCGCACGTTCGTCTGTCTGTACGTACGTCTATCCGTTACGCTATGGGAGTACCCATCTCTTATCCTTAAATCCTCCTATACCAATGAATGAAATTTTATAATGCTTTCACGGAATTTTTGTTACACAGTACCATTGTGCACCTCCTATTTTACTTTTTGATCGGACACATATTTCGGGTTTCCAATGCACAACATAAAACACTGCCATTCTTTCTATAATATTGAGGGGTACCCATCTCTTATCCGCAACACCTCCTATACCACTGAATAAAATTTAATGAGACTTTCACAGAATCTTTATTACACTGTGCCATTATGCACCTCCTATTTTACTTGTTGATTAGACACATATTTTGGATCTCCCATTGCAAAATATGGACTTTGCCATTTTAAACATATAAAAGGCGGGGGTATCATTTTGTTAGCTCATTGCTCACAGTTCCTCTAGTTTATACATGTATCTTTACTCAAATCTCGTGATATTATTTTTAAGCTAAGGTACGTCATATACGGCTTTAAGATTTGATCGCTTTCGTTTTTAATCGCATGGCAAAAAATCGTGCATATTTTGTTTGTTAGCTGTTATCGTAATATAGATTGTAAAAAAAATCATTGATTATTTTGGAATTCTATTTAAGAGAGGTGAAGTCGCCAAAAACCAATATGAAATTCAAAGTACTGCATGGATGTGATATAAGTATATAAAAGTTCTTTTTGAAATATACTTACATGATAAATTTTGTTTTATGGAATCAGTCATGCTGTCTTTCGAATGATCAAGGACTTGTATGATTTAAGCTCAGATAATGATAATAGTAGCTTCAAGCTCATAATAATTTTGCCACTGAACACCCCTTTCACTTCTTATTCCAGTCGCCCGCGTGGCGCAGTGGTTTGAGCATTTGCTCTAGAGTCGCGAAGTAAGGAGGTGATCCTTACGTCGCGGGTTCGAATCCCACTGCGGGGCGTGAAGACTGGTCCTTCGGATGAGACCGTATAAACCGAGGTCCCGTGTCGCAGTAGGTGCTGGCACGAAAAAGATCCCTCACTGCTCAATGGCCGTAAGTGCCGAGTATAGGACAAAATTTGCAGCTCTCCACCGGCAAGTGGTGGCGTCTCCATATGAGTGAAAAATTCTCGAAGGACGTTAAACAACGTACAAACAAACAAACAAACAAACACTTCTTATTCCTAATAAAAAATTAACATTATCCGCGCCGATGGTTTACTTATGCAAGAAAATAGATTAATATATTCATAATTTGTTATGGTTTATATTTTTTGAATGATCAGAAAATAAATGGGGTGGGGGTGGGGTGGGGGGGGATTTTGATGGTGTCAATCTCAAGCCCAAAAATAGGTGGGGGTGGGGTGGGGTACATGTAACAAAAGCTGTAAAGAAATTTTATAGTGACGTATAATATTAAAAATTAGTTAGGAACACAGATACTAATATTTTGAGATGGTAACTGAAATACACGTAGAAATAAATCACGAAACCTGCGCACCTATATATACACTCTTTCCAATTGGTTTATCTGTACAGCTGTCTCGTCTTTCATCCCAATTTTTTTCAGAACAGCCAGCTACAGATCTGCAGGTAGCCAGTAAAAAAGAAACAACTAATTATTAGATTTTTTTTTACATTCTCTCTCTCTCTCTCTCTCTGAAATATACTTAATCAATTACGCCTTTTTTCAAAATTTTAATGCAAATATAATATTTCAATGTTACATGAAGAAACAAAATCTTGATTCATATTTGAAAAAACTGATCAGATAAATTGCACGTTTTGAACACAAAATTAAACCTTGACCTAATAAAATTCCAATTCCAAATGGTGACTTTATATTTTTTTTATCCATGAAATGATTTTTGTTATATGATTTATAAAAATGTATGCTTTAATTAGACAGTTTCTTAGGAAAACAGTAAGATTTCGATATATTTCAATGACATTTAATATATACCCCAAGTATACACTCCATAATTATGCACAAAGAAAAATGCAACAAAAAATAAAACACTACATGTTTTATTTAACTTAAATTTTCATTAGGAGAATAAAAATGGCTTAGGTTTTCAATGATTAGAATGTACGTGAACAGAACTTGGACAGGACTGCCACTGTTTCATTGTAGCATAATGTAGCATAATTTTCTTTTGAAAATTAACTTTGAACTTCATAAAATCAATTCGAGGACAGACATACTTAAATAAACAGTAAAATCTTTGTTCAACTTATATATCGCTTCAGTCAAATCATTTTAGAAGAAAAATACACAAAGTTAAAGAGAAAAAAATAATCTAAAAATAATGAAAAAATAACATAAAAAATGGCAAAAATAAAAAGAAAAGAAATAAGGAAAAAATTAACATAATACAAATACAATTATTTTTACAAGCTTTGTAAAAGGTACATTTTAACATTTACAAATCTCCATTTTTTTAAAAAAATCTATATGTATTATATATAAAGCTACAAATAATATACACGTTTATCAGTAAAGTGGTTATAAATGGACTTCATTGAAGATATATTATGCAATTAACAAACGACCACCCAGGATAGTGTACAACATGTAGTTCATCGATTGAAATTCATGAAAAATAAAAAATTTAACTTTCTCACCACTCGATCTTAATATGGTTATCGTCAACATTTCCCGACTAACCAATTAAACTATATGTATTCACTGAGTTTTCGTGCAACAAGAGCTTTTTCATTGTCTGGTACATATTTCAAAATATTGTCACTAGGAATGAAATAGTTCCGAATTTCTCCTGACTGCAGACATTTAACAAGTTCTTTTATACTTTGATTGAACAAAAGTTCCTCATTTTTCTCAGAGAAGTCTTTATGTCTATCGAAAAATCCTAGCATAAACATCTTAAGATGGTAACTGCAGAATTTTTCAATTCCCGGACAATCAGTTTTGATGTCTTCTTTTAATTTCTTTAAAATTTTAAAGATTGTCTTACGGACACCTTTGTCTGTATAATCAGCGTGGTTAATCAGTTTCTTTTCTGCATGAGAAAATGACACCCTCCAAAGAAGACCTCCATCTGCTTGTTCTGGAGACGAGAGAATATTTGTATAAGCAGTCAAAAAAAAGTTTCGGCTGCAATTCGTTAATTGTAATGCAATGCATTGTAATACGTTGTAATGCAAATGGTGTAAACTTTGTATTGGTACATGAAAATATCTTGATTTCTATAAGCGTTCTTTAATATATATATATATTGAGGAAATCTGATTTCTATTGTTTTCTTGACAAAAATGTATTAAAAAGTAAGATATATCTCAAGTACAATTTCTTTTGTCTTAATAGACAAAAATGTTAATGTTATAATTTAAATACTATGACGCAATATTGCAAAATATGTAATATTTCCCTTACTTCCTGGAAACGTCTTCGTGACAGCGTGAAAGCATTTCATCGCCTCTTTAGCGTGGTCATCACTAAGCCATTTTGCATGGAGTTTTCTAAAATTCGAGGGCCATCCATCCACTCTTATGGCTGGGACTAGATCTATGTCGATTGGAGGTTTGCCTTGAAGTTGTAGGTCATAGAACACAGTGAAAGCAGGACTTTCAGGAGCACGCGGCTTTCCTAGGAGATATGTATATATTTAAATAAATAAATAAATAAATTTTATATATATATATATATATATATATATATATATATATATATATATATATATATATATATATATATATATATATATATATATATATATATATATATATATATACACTTGCTGATAAAGATATCTACGATAATAAAAAAAAAACCCTGATTATAAGGAAGTCAAAAGTCGGTTATGTACAAATAATATTACACCTTTTTTAAATGGATCAAAGGAATTTAGGATATAGGGAATTTAAATATGAAGTCCATAAAATTATACTTGTTGGAAAGGTTTACTGCATATTTTGTGGTGCAATCAGAGTGAATGTAAGCAAATTTCGTTATCAAGCAAAAGCAGTATTTAAAACTATTGCTTGTTTCAATATGTGATGGGAAATATTTACTTTTTGTTCTTCTGCCTTCTCGGAAACCAGGACTTTCAATACACTTTTTAAAAATTTGGAACATCTTTTCTTTAAAAAAATCGGGTACGAGATAACCATCTTTATTGAACATCTTGTCAAAATCCTGACTAGTTGTTCGACCTTTCTTTATTTTACAGAAACCTGGTGGGCAGTTTGTAAAGTCAGCTTCAAAATTGGCCTTAGGGTAAAACATGAAATCAAACTCATCGGCATAGTCTATCTGGAAAAAAAAAGATACAAATGAAAAAGCATTCCACACCTAAGTTTAGCTGTACACATGAACATATTGCAAAAATGGTGACTTAGCAATTGGTGACTATTATTCTAAACTATTTTATGTATTTTTTTTTTTTAGATATTTACCATCGCATAAAGGTATGGTATAAGCTAAATACACAGTTTCATTTTACAATTCGAAGGCCAATAATCCGGAAGTTTCCTCTTCCAGACAAAATTTGTAGGGAACAAAATTAAATTTATAAAGGCAGCTCCAGTCAAGTGTACATTCATCCGGACGATTTGCTTGGGAACATAAGCGTCCGAAATAACGAGACTCGACTGTGTTCCAATGTCATAACTCTATTTTTTTTAAATTCCATGAATATTCATGACTCTAGATCTATCAGGTGTATACTAGTATGTTTGCCTTATTACTTCAAATATGATTGAACAATTGTTCAGTACCTTGGTTTTATCGTAGTAAGATCCAGATTTAAACAATTCCAACGGAAAATCGGAAACCCTGGAAATCGTTTCTTCTAAATTCTGAACAAATACATTGACTCTATCCACTCGTAGTTTACTGTCTTCTTTTGGGCATATGATGCCTGCCTTTAGAATTGTTAGAAGTTTACTTTTATCCGACGCAAGACATGACAGTGTCGAGTCTGAAATAATTTGAATTTGTAGTTAATACTAGTAAAATCATTAGATACATAAAAACATATTAAAATCAAGCTAATTTTATAAAAAAGAAAAAAAGAAAATTAAACATTATAGTTTAAGGAAGGATTCTTGTCTGGTTTCTGACTAAATGAAATATTCAAAGTATAAAACTATACTATTCCCTAAAAGTTTGAGAAAAATAGAAGAAAGCTGTTATCTGTTTTAGCTACATTATTTTACTCAGTTGCATCACTCGAACGGCCCTCTGGAAGAAGAAAATGACCTTGACCTGACCTTGCTCTTAAAATAAGAGAGACAAATTTAATCTGATTGTTTCCATCACTTAGTAATATTGCCTTCTTGAATCTGTGAAAATTTCATTAATTTTTATATATACTAAATATGAGAAGAATTCATCTTTCACAAATGATAATTCACAATTGATTCTTCTTACTTGACAACGATGAAGGTGACCTTTCAGTAAGCAACGGTTCCCTTGGTTTACCTCGTCCCCCTGCTTTCTCCTGTGGTTTAGTAACAGTGTGAGGGGAAGCCTGTACAACTTTAGCAACCTCCTTGATGACATGTTCTGACATGTATGTATCTGTTCTGTGAATTTCTCCGAATTTTGGTGGCACTGATTTTGGCCATGTCCTTGTATCACCTTTATGTTCTCGTTCGGGTCCACTATAAGATTTACATTTCTCGTTTACAGCGCTGCCATGTGGACTGTGGGTGGTTGTAAATCTTCCTTGGTACCCATCTTTTCTGTGACCGCCAGCAGTGGATGGTCTTTGTCGAGCACTGTGTTTTTCATCTTTTCTATCTTTGCTATGATAATGGCCATGCTGTGGAACTTTTCTTGAATAAAGCTCTGTTTCTCTCCGACCAGAGGAATGGCTATCCTGATGGTGCACTTTGGACATGTGAATGCTGAGTCCATGTTCATTTTTAAAATCATTTCTCTGACATACTCCACAAACTATGCTTGGATGCATTTTTGAGATATGTATACTTAACCCGTGCTGGTTTTTAAAATGTTGCTTGCACATTCCACATGTCAATGACATAATTCTACACGTCTGGAAAAAATAAGAAGAGGCCCATGGGTCATGACAGTCACCTGAGTATCATGAACTGAGGATCGCATTATTTTTATGGTTTTAGTCCCACTCCTCGGGATCCAGGGAGGAAAATACCATAAAATTCATGATGATCTTTGTTCCCTTTTACCCATGGATGCTATATATAAAATTTGGATGAAATTGGCTTTAGTTAATGGTTCTAGAGCAGAAACTGGAGATATTCAAAAGTTTACGCCCACGCACGATAATTAAACAAAGCACGACGACAGTTGAAAACAGATATTACAGTACGTGATTCAGATGACTTATTAAAAATACGGTTAGCAAAGAAACTGAACTGAAAAATCGACTCATGGTCAAAAATGGAAAGGGATCTTAACGAGGTTCGCTCCTGAGCGTTTGAGTAGATTTTTGTCTTAATCTATATTTCAAAAATTCTGCATAATGTTTTAGTTCTTACAACAAATTTGGATTCTACAAAACCAATTAAACGATATTCAGTTAAAACTCCATCCTTAAATTCCATACCAAAAGCATTAAGTGAGGAACTATATTTTGTGGCGGATGGATTTTTAGAAGAAAATGATCATTTTTTTCTCTTTCGAAGTATTTAAAGTATGTTAAGTTTGGATTCCTATTTTTCCATGCAGCCTGCACACAAAGTTATTCTGTGCCGTGAACTGTTTTATGCTGGTCCTAAATTATATATCAAATAGACTATCATGAATTCTATCATCATATTTGATAAATATAGCAAATATATTTCGAAAATTCAGAAAAAAAAATAGCCCTAACTTAAGCTTAAACTTAGCAATATTTTAGTAATATCTAAAAATTAACATCACAGACCCCCACTTTTAATTTCCTTATCTGAATATATAAGATACTTTTAACCATTCTTCTTAAATTCAGTAAAATGTCATTACTTTCAAATGATTTTATTGCTTGTTAAAAATTTTAATGTCAGTAAAATGATATTTTTAAGTGCAAAAAGGTCAAATAATTGAACATGCAAAGTAATTAGAAATTTTTTTTGTTGTGACAAATTTCAATGTGTCTATTCAAGATGAAATAAGACTGTGTTTGTTCCCATAATTTATTTGAATAAATATTATTGGAAGAAAAACTTTAAAAATTGATTATGTGTAAAAAGTATTTACAGTGCAAAAAGGTCAAACTAAATGCTCTGTAGCATCAAAAGAAGCGCATTGACCCCCATTTTTTGTTTTGATTTTTAATTAAGCTATGTGTGTAGATTCTTAAAATATACTTGATAAAAAATTCTCATTACTTTTGATGACAGGATCCAACCTCCTTAAGTTTCATTATTAATATACTATGCAATTGCCAATTCGTAAATACAGAAGTAATATTGTAATCTCTATTTTTGTTACCAAAAAAAAGTTTTAAAAATGTTTGCATTGAAAATATATAGCAAGTTTGACAGGTAATTAAACTGTGGAATCATTAGATTTCAATTTCATTGCGACTCCGTATTCATGGAATTCATGGGCACCTCTTATCCACGAATTAATATCCTCCACAAATCAATAAACTATAGTTTCAAAGTCATTTTTCCTTTCGTAGATATAAGAGAATACACAAAATTACGTCCATATGAACCTGCAAAATTTAAGCAATCCAGATCGAACCCCCCTCCCCTCTACGAATTTTAACGATCCCATAGACAGCAGAGTAAAGTAGTAGAAATATGATTTACAGAGGACCAATAGCACAAAAGAGTCGTCTTAGTAATGTACCCCATGAAAAAATTTCGTTTTAGAGTCAATCATTAATTCAGGAATAGATAGAAGGGTGTTAAACGATAAGAATGAAGTACCCTTTATAGCTTTTATATCGTTTGAACATTGCACTTTATAATTGTTTGGTTTTGATATCTGTGTGATCTACCAGGATGTCACTGCGGTCGTATGTTTTACAAGAATGTTAGAAAGTACTAAATCAGGGGCCAGTAGTACGAGCTACGTATGTGATAACGGTTACCAAGTCAAATGAGAAAGATGTGAGTTCTTGCAATAAAACTTCCCGATATTTTACCTATATGAATATTAAATGCACCAAAACGGAAATGAATGGTTGCGATGTGTTTTATTCAATATACATCCTGATTTAAGACTACCATTCTTAACTGGCTAACATTTTTAATTGAAAATGTATTCAATTAATTGCACCGAATTGATGTTTTTAATTTTTTAAACACTGTCTTGTATTCGTACATCTATATTTGTATTTCGACAAACATCTGTCCATCAAAAAATGTTTAAGTCGAATATATTTCGATTTCTAGATCTGCTACATGTTTATGATTACATGGGGATTTTACCCTCCTAAAACATGATTTTTTTTTTAAAGATCTGAATAATTTTCGTTATAAAAATAGTTTATAATATATCATTTGCTTGTTTTCGTCATAAAAACATTTCTGGTCTACATTGCTATTTAAGATATTCAATCATTTTGCAAACTTTACTGAACACCAAAAAATCTTGCTCATACTATATATATGCTATAGTTTCTATTCAATCATATGAATTGTTTTTCCTATGTCACTAGCGATAATATTTAGATTACTGACGCTAACGGTAATTGACCTTTAATCTTTAAAGTCACAGAGGAAAGGTTTACTTATCTTTTGGTGACAATATCGATCAAAGATAACTTGGTAACGTTTTTTAGTATTAGGGTTACACGCCCTAGTGATAAGTTCACGAGACACCGGGAAAACCTTGTGAGTGGGCGGCGATCTTTCTACTGTCAGAGCCTCTTCTTTTTATTATCCTGTTAATATTTGCTTATCGATCGCATTTTTCACACGCCAAATGTTTACATAATATATTATATATACTACCTCGTATCATATTATCATCATATTATATTACAAACTGTCATAGAATTTACATTTTTCGCATAAATTGTATTTGTTTTAAGAAATAATATTATAATACAAATAATATTTCATAAAGTTGCCTTTAAAACTCTTAAGTTCGCCTCTGCCTATAATATTTTGATTTTTTATATTTATTTATATTTAGAAATTTATGTCTATACATCTCAAGTGATCCACATAATTCGCACCGACTGTTGGACCCTGAACTCTTTTACACACACTGTAAAAAATGTGTTTACAATTCAAACACTTTTCTAAACACTTTCTTGTCACCTCCTTTTTTATATGTTTAATTTCTAAACATGTAAAATTCCTAAACATGTCTTAGAAAGTGTTTAGAATTTAAACACTTGTGTGCTTAGAAATTAAACATATCTAAACACATAAACAGAAGTGTTTAAATTCTAAACACATAACAGCAGATGTGTTTAAAATCTAAACACATCATAAGTTTAATTTGTACCTGCAGAAAAACAAAACACTCTCGTAAATTTAGGCACAAAAAGTATATGTTTTTTAAATGCGCATAATTGTCAAAATTTTCAAAATATGTAACCAATATTAATTATTTTCCATAAAGCCACTGAACGATGGGATATGTATTTAATTATACAATGCAATGGTCACTGTGCGATGTACATGTACTTAATTTACACAAATAATGTAGGAGATAAAACTGAATAGATTTGATTAGTCTCAACATTTCAATCAGAATGACACATACATGTAATTTATAACGTACACATATATAACAAACTTTTAATCTTCAAAATTATTAAGAAAATAATATTAAGCTGACAATTTAATATCAAAACTTCATTGAATATTTCTAAATTAAGGCTTTATTAAAGAATTGTTAAACTAAAAATACAAAATGTATATTTATATATATATTTATTATAATCATTATATTTTGAATCGGCTGCAGAGTTTTCCTCATGTCAATCACAAAATATCAAATTTAATGAACTTTCAGCAAGTCCCAAAGCACCACATATTATAATCTATATCCCATCAATAACTGCCAGAAAGTAACCCATTTCGAATGCACGAGGATAATTGTAAACACTGTCGAATTAACACAGAAGTCTTCAACAAATGAAGTTTCAAAGTGTTGATTATGGAACAACAACATTGCACTTGAAGATGACACCAGATACTCTGATACGTGTATTTTGAGTTCGATCTGGACTACGTACGGTGCCTGTAGGAAAGAAAGCCAGATTTTAGAAAAAGTACACTATCACTGATATTTTACATTACTTAGAAAAAAAAATTGTTCAAATTTTAGTGAAACTACACAGATATAAATATAGATGTTTTTAATGACATTTAATATTATTTCTTCTCCTGCAAGTCTATGAACGAATTCAAGATATCCCAAGTCAACTTTATTTACGTTGCTCATCGTGGTTAATTAATGCAAAGAAGAAGAAAACAAACCTTTAATGTATTGCAGCAACAAGATGCCCTTTCACGTATTTCACTATTTCGTCATGGTTATCTCTTGAATTGGGTTGTCATAACTCTCACTGATACATCACCTTAGCTTGTTGCGTTTTCTTTGTTTACATAGCCGCTCAAATTAACGTTCAAATATATATGTGTGTCATTTCCGGGAAGATAACTCTGCACTTTACAGTAAAACGTGTTTAATTTCTAAACGCGTTTAGATATAAAACATGTAAAGACATAAGTGTTTAGTTGTTAAACACAATACTATACACGTTTAGATCTAAACATGTAACAGAAGTGTTTATTTCCTAAACACAATTTTTACAGTGCATGTAAAGTGATTTAAATTACAGGTCGGCCTCCAATCGATTGTGGTTTGCTTAAACATGTTAAATATTAAAACAATTCTATACCATACATATATTAACTTTTCATTTATTACAAGAACCAACGAATTTGTCATACTTTCATGAAAATCTTAAAAAACCGTACGTAAACTAAACTTATAAACGTACACATGTCCATCCCATGTATCTATTTAGAATACATACAAGACTAGTATCTATTTACTTACTAGTATACTGACCTACGAAATCGTAATACACGTAAACATGC